GCATAACTTGCGTCAGTTCTGAAGCAAAATCTTCCACCTCTGTCATAATATTCAAATGTAAAACAAAACAAAAGTCTTCCGACGCTTTTTATAAGTGACCCCAAAGGTTCATCGTGGGGAAACGCCCGTAAAAAAGAACCGAAGTACTTATATGACATCACTTTGCCTGACTCACAGCTGGGATGGTCACCTCACCAAGTGCCAACTTGCCATGAAAACACACCCGAGCGGTCAGAGATCCGCATGAAACTGGCGTCCATGTTGGCTCAATGGGGGGTTTTTACACTGGGAGGCAAAGGGACTTCTGCGCCGTAATGTCAGGGTGATTCACGCAGTAACATTTGGCCTATCGGTCACGCTAAAGCACGCTCCTTGACTGGTTGAGCTTTACAGTTTCAACCAATCACAGTAAGCTATACCACCAAGTGGCAGATTCAGTAACCAATCAAAAGCTTATGTTTTGACAGAAGGTTGGGAGAAGGCGTGTCCATTGGTCCAGGGAGTCGCCGCTGTGGCTCCTATTCGAAGGCGACGGCGGTCGTCTGTATTTCTGCTCTAATCTCATCTGAAAAGCTAAATTACACCTAGCAGACAGTGAATTTAATTTACTTTCATGTTTGGTTTATTCCCAGTTCTTCTCAGTCGAGCTCTCGGCGGGGCTCTGGAATGACGACGTGTGCGGAGAATTTGAATTAGCTCGCAGTTAGTTTGAAGAAAGAGTGAGTTGGGGCAGAGACGTAGAGAGAAGCCATTTTGTCCCGACTGTGTGGGAGAAAAGAGAGTGGAAAAGAGGAATCACACGGGAGGAGATACCATTTTTTTTTTTTGCTTTTTGTTCTCATGTTGTAAGAGAAGAAACAGTTCGGGATATATCAACTTCTTGGACACGTATTTGGGTTCTTTATTTGGGTGATATTTTAGCCTACTACTAGCTCGCCAAAGCTAATCAACAAATCCCAGATTGTTAACTGTTAACAGCCAGGAGGGCTGGAGCGGGTTGGTCAAGTTGGCCACGGAGCTGGAATTAGACTTCACGTAGCCGTGCTAGTTTGTCCTTTGTTTCTGTTTGTATCTGGGTGAACACATAATTATTTTTCAATGGCGAAAAAGACGTACGACTTGCTGTTCAAGCTGCTGCTGATCGGCGACTCGGGTGTGGGGAAGACCTGCGTGCTGTTCCGCTTCTCTGACGACGCCTTCAACACAACCTTCATCTCTACCATAGGTAAGAACTCCAGATGACACACACAACTGGGCTTGTAGTTGGAGGTGTTGCTGATAGTTTTCGACCTCTGTCGGAGGTTTTTGACTGCTGGGAAAGTCATCTGACCCCCACCATGCAGCTGGAAATGGTAGGCAGGACATATTTGGTTAGCTGCTTTGCTAGCATGCATCGTTTCTCCAGGCCTCGGATTGTTCTTTAAAAAACCTATGGGATGATCCATAACCCCTGTTTTTGTTGCTTCTTATTTAAGTGAATAAAACATTGTGATAGTTTACGTTCACACCGGCTCTAAGTGTTAGTTAATGTAGAGGTATTTTTTGTCATGTCAGTGGCTAACAACGACGTGTTGGTAGCACTGCAGGGCGGCCATACTGTGACTAACTCTGAAAACTATTCCTCAAACCAAATGACAAGCATTAGCTTCTCCAATACAGCCAGATAATAAATATTCTTTCTTTGCTTTTACAAATTAGACAGTATCTTTTGCAGATGTATGTAAATTTGTTTATAAAAGCCACCACTGTCAATGCCACAGAATAAAAGCTCATTACAAGCAACACTCAAAAGAATTATATATCCAATTGAAAGGACATTACAATAAAATTATACAATGCTAAGATAATGTCTGTAGTTTTTAAACAAACAGCTGCAGCAGTTTTTGTTGTTAATTTACATAACAACCTGTTATTCATCACAAAAATTAGCATTATTCCTAATAGGTTTAATAGGTATTAGCATAAAATTGTTTACAAATGCATCAAATAAATTAGAAAGTGGGTCAACCACATTTATTACCATCATTTGTTGCGCTTTTGAGATGTATGCAGATTTTGTCAGAATTAGAAAAGCTGACGAAAAGAGGACTGATTCGATCAAGTCGTTTTGTTAAATAGCATGAAAACATAAACTATTTGGGTTATTAAAAAATTGTACCTCTATTCTGACAAATAAAAACCTTGTTTTATAGGACTACACATTTTTGTTATGTTGCTAACAGGAAGTAAAGAAATAAATTGAATTCTAGGTGTGTTTTTTGACAGGGATTCTAGCAATCTAGACTCATAATAGAAAGTAATCTGTTTTAATTATATTGTGAAACCTGCAGCGCAATAACTAGTAATGCTCCCGTTACAAATCAAAAAAGATGCTTTCAAAAAAGGGATAAGCAATGTCAAGGTAAAATTATCAAAATATAATGCAATACAACATAGTTTAGAGCGTTTTTAGCAGTAATAATAAAAGTGGTATAAATCTATCATTACATACAGTTTAAGGTTTTGCAAATCTGCCACTAAAACCTTCATAATCTTTATGTTCAGTCATATTTTGTATCGGTATTAATGCAAACCAATGTTTTTAAACTGTAAAGTTTTTATACTTAAAGTTATAGCTGTCTATACCTTTAAAGTTCTTGCCATGGAGTAATGCAGCACTTCCCTGCCCCACCTGTTGCTGAACACTTTTGGGAAAGTAGTTCAAAATGTTTTGGGGGTTTACAAATATATATTAGATTTTCTTGTTACTTTTACAGTTGATTTAAGGCTTAATAAAGTATCCTTTTCATAATAACAATAGGTGAAATAATAATTGCCCATCCAAAATTGAAAAGTATAAATTAAAGTAGCATTATTGACACACTGTAGCCTATTTTTGGTAGCAAAATAGATTCCTCTCACCCAATTGTAATTGAGGATGTTGAAATAATTTTTCGTTGTTGTAAGAGTAGAAAATAAAACTTCCAAAAGTGGGAGCAGAAGTAGGAAATGTTCACATTATGATCATTGTTTCATTGTATATCACTAATAATTAAAAACAGTCCAAATTGTTGTTGTTTTTGTTTATAACCTAAAAGCAATATTTATTTCTACTGCTACTAAAATGTTATAACGTTATGATTATTGTAGCTATAGTATTGTAACTGTAATGTATTTTTTTAGTCTTTTGCTCTCTATAGATTAACACAAACATAATTATCTGATAGTAGCTGGTTAATTACTTGGGCTAATTATTAATGTATCCATCCTGCAGTCTGTGTTTGACGTTAATGTGTTTTGTAGCTTGGCATCTTTATTTTTTTAAACTTCATAGAGTGATAGAGTTGCTCTTTTAGTTTCCATGACTTAAATTATTTCAGAACAGCCAAATTTTCTCTGCTGTAAAGAAACATACAGCTGCACTCTGCCTGCATTCTGTAATTATTACATGTTAAGTTAGATAGAAATGTGCATTTTTATTGTCAATAAATACTGTACCTAATACAAAAAAAACTAAGGAGTTTAAACTTTGCATGGTATTTGTTTGTTTTGCTAAAAACTAAATCAGTTTAGTATTACTGGCACACAGATCCACATTTGTTTTGTAAAATATTGCCAATAGGTGACATTGATTTTGGTTTGCAGCCATAGCTGAATAATTAAAACCAGAATATACCACTGGAGACTTTGTTGGGGGGATAAAGGAAACAAGTCAGTTTTGTTAAAATATTTTGGCTACAGACGAGGTGACGTTAACCATAAACAGGTTCTCTGGCTTTAAGGACTTTGTAGCTGTTGCCACAACATGACACAAGATGACTTAATGACTCAATCATTGAAATAAGGTCAACAAAACTCTGTATAACAATTGCAGAATTACATCTGATTGTTGTCTTAAGGATAAACAAACAAACCTGTTGGGTGTATTTAAGCAATTTATGTAGCATTACAAGTTAAAACAGCTTTTTGCAACTGAAAAGCAAAGAAGCTTTGAATTGTGAGTGTATGAATGCCTTAGATCCTCCAGTGGGAGTCATAAACGATCCTCCAAGGTGGCATCATCAGCCTCTTTCCTCTACCTTACTTTACACTTGCATCTAAAATCGCACTTGCATGAGTTAAGTGTCAAAGTATGTCAAATCCCGGCGCAGCCAAAGCGAGGCCTCCATTTACTCTTATTGCTTAAGACCCGCGCTGAGTAGTAATGAAACATTAGAGTGCTCTGACATTATTGTCCCTGATCCTTTGGACTCGGCTTTCGTTTCGACATTTCTTTTTAATAACTTATGTCTTGTTAAGTTATCCTGAGTATAAGCAGCTGTTTCCAGCGGCGTCCAAGTTGGATTAATTTGTCGTAGTTGAGACATGAACTGCTTTGCTGCTGCAGAGCTTGCCAATACATGAAGACTTCTGCCTTTCAGTCTGCACCTTTGCTTCGACTTGTACTACACTGCAAAAACAGAAACTCTTACCAAGTATTTTTGGTCTAGTTTTTAGTTCAAATATCTTGGTACAATTAAAGTAAGACAAAAGTAATTTGCCAGTAACTTTTCATTCTGCATCTTTGCTACGATTTGCAATACACTGCAAAAACACAAACTCTTACTAAGTATTTTTGGTCTAGTTAAGGAATTATCTTTGTAACTTGTAACTTTTTACAAGATATATGAGCTTGTTTCAAGTCAACAATTCCTTAACATTGATAAAAAGGTTCTAGTTCCACAAGCAGATTATTTTTCTTATAACAAGACATCTTTTCAAAGTTATAAGTGAAACCTGACAGTGAAACTAGAACTTTTTCATCAGTATTAAGGATATTTTGACTCCTATATCAGGGTTTCCCTCAGTGTATTATAAGCCTGGCCGGACACCAGGCTTTACTTTTGGGCCCCCACCAGGCTAAGCATTGCTTATTTTTTTGAGTCTTTATACAATGTTTGCATTTTTAAAGGCTTTTAGTTGTTATTCAGGTAATAATATTCCAATCTTTCAATAACACTTAATTATCAAATGATATTTTCAAATTTCCTGTCAACTTTAAACATTTTTAACTCAAACACACAACGGCCCAACCACCGGCCTTAGCAAGTTTTCAGGGGGAAACCTTGTATATCTAGCTGAAAGTTACTAGAAACAAAAATACTTGGTAGGATTGTGTTTTTAAGTGCTCTTTTAAGATTACTTAAAAAGAGCAGAGTAAAACCAATCCTTTAAGATCTTTGTTGTAGTTCTTAAATACAGTCGACCAGCAGGCTTTTCAGTGAGAGGAAAAAAGAACAAGAGTGACCTTTGGCCCTGGCCTGCTGATCTTGGCAGCGGCAGCAGCGTTTTCTGTTTTCATTTATAGAAATGTGGAACTGAATTCAACAGCCTAAAGTCAGCAGAACAGGTTTTAGTTGTCATTGTTTTTTATATATATATATATATATTTTTGTCTTGTTTGTTTTTTAAAGTCGATTGTTTGGTGAAACTCGTTGATGTCTTAGTTGTGAAAGTAGCAGAGCTTAGATGGAGATCTCACCTGAAACCTGTTTGACATAAATAAACTGGAAGCAATGGCACGGCCCATTTTCTCATAACCGCACCGTTCAGGTGTTAAACTAGAAACGCACAGGTCGTAATAAATGTTGTCTCTGTATAACCAGCAATAAACTCAGTTATAACCACTGCTAAACTTTCAAAGTTATTACCAATCAGTGCAAAGGGGAAAACTTTATTGTGTTTTTTATGAGTCCCTCTGGCACGTTCAGCTGCGTTTGGGGGGAAAAGTTTAGGTACTTACCGAAGGTAAATTGATTAGTAATTCACATTTTATGACTTGGATACACTTACACACTCTGCTATAACCACTGGCTCTTAAATAGTGTAAAATATTGCAGTGTTTTTTTTGTGTAAAATTATGTTTCATGTCATTTTTCCTGTGCAATCTGAAAGGCTGCTCGAGTTTTTTCTGCATTTCAGCCCTGATGGTTGTAACATGAAAATTGGTATTTAGCAGAAACTGCTCCCACATGGTGCTGATTTCAGTTTAGGAAACTTGTATTTTTATCTTTGTTCCACCTTTAATTTACATTTGTAAAGTTGCCAGCAATCATTGGAATCAGTCGAAATATTATATGCCGTTTTTTTGTTTTTTGTTTTTTTTTAGTGTTGCTGCCTGGGAAATAATTGCAATTTGAAATGTGTTCCCAAGTGATTCCTTAAGTTATTTTTTAACTTGCTATTTCACTTATTACTTTTATATCTACTGTTCGATCATAAAAAAATCATCCAAAATAAAATATTAAAGTTGGACAATCAAACACATACCATTCTCTTGAAATACTTGCAAAATAAAATATAAACAATAACAGCATGGAAACCAAATTCTATAAATAAGTGTATTTTTTGTGAGCTTGGAATTGGGGCTGAAACGATTAATTGTGATTAATCAATTACTGAAATCAACTAATTTAGTAATCGACTAATCATTAACTGATGTATATAGACTCAAAACAGGAAATTTGCTGAAAGAACAACATATTCAGAATACTAACAAAGCCAAAAATATATCTACAATTAGCATTTTAGATAAAATAAAAAAAACATTTAGTAAATGTTTGTTTTATCTTTACCTTGTTTAAATTCTGTGGAAAAAATATAAGCAGAAAGGACCAAGTTTTTCACATTTTGATTTCAGATTTTTTTTTTTTTTTACTGCACATGCATCTGTTACTACAAATCATTAAAGCAATTCCTGGCAATAAAATGTTTATTTTAATATAAATTTTATTGCATTTTAGGCAATAAAATTATTAATTGCCTAAATAAACATGCATTAGGTAATAAATCTTTATATAATAATAAATAAATATTTATTTATAAGTAAATAAAGATTTTATTACCTCAAATACATTTAGTTAATAAATAATTTATTTAGTAATAAATGTTTATTTATACACGTATAGTATATTATATATCTGATGCCACCTAATAAAATGCAACAATTTATTGGATTTTAGGCAATAAAATGCATTTCTTAATTAAAATAGGAATTGAATTGCTTATTTGCATATTTTATGTATTTTAATATTACATAGAATATTCACAGAATGTGCCTTTTTTAAAAATCTAATTAATCGTTAAACAATCGATTAATCAATCACTAAAATAATCATTAGTTGCCGCTTCACTTGATAAAAATGGACTCTATTAAGATTTGTGGTGAAGTTTCTCCTTTGACTGTATTAACCATGACTACATATGTTTATGACTCCAGATTGTTGTTGTTTTGATTTAAAATTATTCCAAACGCTGTACTGAGCGTAGCTGTATGGAAATCATCTTCCTACCCCTAAATGCAAACTTTGAAAACTGTGTAAAGAGCAGAACTGAAAACCTGGAAGAGGAATGTCGTCTTCCTCCGGCCCAGGTCTCATACCTTTTCAGAGACAGCTGCTTCTCAAAATACCCGGCTGGGAAACCCCCTCTGTCATTATCCAGGCTGCTTTTCTTCAGGATGACCTGGCTCTTGCTTAATATCTTTCTGATGATCTGTCATTTAAAAAATGCTTCCTGGGGGGTTTTATTTCCACAGCAACTGGAAAGTGTCTTGTATTTATGTTTGGAAAGAATTGATCCTCTTTCAGCTTAGATTGTCATTGAAGTCCTATTTTAGGGAAGTATGTCCATTTTCCAGTGAATATCTTTTTTACCCAACTTCCCAATGCTGAGGCCAGTGTTTAAAAATAATGGACTGTTATCAATAAAACTGTCCCTTTTTCTCTATACATCATCCCGGATTATATTATTTATGCGTCTTTTGAAGCAACTAAAACTTTCTTTCCCACTGCTTCTCCCCCAAGGGTGTCCATAATATCTGGTGAGTCACATTTTGGCAGGCAGTTCCTTCGTTATTCTGTGACTCCACCCCTCCTAAAACGCAGCTGTTTCTTCAACGTTTTGACCAGGAAAACGTCCTGACTGAAGCAGAACTGACCAAAAACGAGGTTCACAAGAAGGAATGAATCACAGGGCTTAGACTAGATCTTCAACCAACTCATGAAAACTTTTCTAACTAGTGTTAATGGTGGTTTATTTCATTTTGGTGCTGTACTTTTTCATACTTTTTAAAATTAAATCACTTGACTTTACAATATTTGACCTAAATGTCTTATGAAAATAACCATTGAATGTCACAGTTCTTCCCAAAGTAGCTGCCATAAATTAATTTGTATTATATTCTATCAGAACACCTCAAAACAAAAACACTTATGTTATTAAACAAAAAAAAAGTTTAGTTTAAACTCCTTCCAGAGGGAAGAAAAAGATTTCTATAATGTGAAATATTGTTTGAAATCTACAAAATCATTATCTTTTGATTTTTGTTTTGTTTTGCATGTTTATTTTAACTAACAGTGCTAAAAATAATAAATATGCCAGGGTGGAGATGTATGTATTTAGTAGGACTGAAACGATTAATCGTATCAATCATGGGTGGACCCAATTTATTTTTTTGGTTTTTACCTCGATTTCAGCCTGAGCTTTTCAGGTTAAAGGAACAAACATAACTCTTCAGAATCAAAACGCGTTCTTTCTTTTTCCGCTCATCTTCTTAATCTCTTTTTTTGGCTTTCATCTGACTCGTCTGTTTTTGTGTAATTGCCACAAAACTACACAAACTTCCATCTACCAATTACTTGAGTAATCAATTAATCTGTCAATTATTCTGACGATTAATTGGATAAAAATGTCACATTCTACATATTTTTCATTTAACCACTCAAGCCTTTTTCATACATTAGAAATGCATTGAAAGATGCAAATATACAAATAATTTAGTTCCATATTAAATAAGAAAATAAGAATTCCTTTAGTAAGCCTGAACAGGGTGATTATAAAATTATAAAATGCGTTCAAATGCAAAATTTATAGATATTTTATACAGTTTTGGCTTAATTACAGCTCTAAATGTTTTTTCCCCACCAAATAGCTTTTATATTTTTTTTGTCTGTATATTCCAGTTGACGATTAATCGATTTCAACCAATTAATCACAATGAATTTGATTAATCGATTTCAACCCTACTTCAGTTAATCGATTTTCTTTGTGTTGTCACTCAGATAAACTCGCAAAACTATGTAAAATGCATCCGACACGTCTGTTTTTCTTTACAGGAATAGACTTCAAGATTAAAACTGTTGAATTACAAGGAAAGAAGATCAAACTACAGATTTGGTAAGTCCTTTTTTAAGCTTTTATTTGTAGACTGCCAACTTTTTTATTATTTGTGTGGCTGCTTCAGTTTCCCACTTGTATCATAGTACAACATCTGTTTGACAAAACTCCCTCAAGCCTGGAAGAATGCAAGAACAGGAAATGGTCACCAGGACATTTGCTGCATCATTGTTGGTCCACTACAGATAATTTCCACCAGCTGGAGTTTAACCGTCTGCTTTCCAAGTGCAGCACAGCAGCTGAAGTGTTTCGTCATCCAGTCTTTGGTAGAAACAGAGAGACACGAATAAAACAATAATGGAAATTTTTCCGCTTGTTTTATTTTAATGGATTTATTGCTTATTACATCAGCTTGGAGCCGTCTCTTCTTCACAGTTGGGTTGGTTTATGTCAAATATTTCCAAATGTTTCCATAAAATCCAATCTAGACTTTTAATCAAAATGATTCCATTTATCCTGGTTCTACATGGCAAACATCTGGCTTTGGTGTTTTAATTGGTGAACAATAATCTTGCTGTTAGGGTTCTGTGCACAGCAACAGCCTTAGCAATTAATCAATTAAATAACTAATTTAAAATAAGCTCAATAAGTTGTATGATTGTCTTTTTATGGGTCACTTTTTCTACCAAAGACTGGACGACAAAAAGCTTCGATCTGGTGTATTTGGTCTCAACCAGCCCCTTTTTGAAGGACAGTTTTGCTTACAGAGACTTCAGTATCCTTTTTTTTTTTTTTTTTTCAGTTTTTATATACATTCTTTCTGCAACTCCCCTGAATCTAATTAACTGCTCTTTACCAAACTTGATAGCATGCTGAAGCTGTAATTAACCGTTTTATTCAGCTACGTTGCAGCAGGGATGCATGTAAACATTGCAGGAATCTACTTGTTTAGACTTCTGGCATTCTGGATTAAACCAATTCATTTAACTCTTGGAGCTAAATGAATTTAACTCCTCACGTCCAGTTGAATTAAACATAAAACGTCACATGAACCTCAACAGTCTTGTCAGAAGATAAGATTATGCTGAAAGTTGCCACTGAAATTGAACAATTTTCCTTTTTAATTGGCTTTTTGCAGGTGAAATGCTGAAATTTTAAATTTTTTCCCCTGTTTTTTAGATGCATCAAACATTGAAAGCGTTCAGCTTTTTCAGGTTATGTTCTTGAAATTCGCATCCATACAAGATGGGAATCTTTTTATACCAACAATAACAATGATAATACAGATCTTAATGGCTAATACAGATCTTAATGGCTAAGGGAGATGGATGGTGACACTGGAGTACCAAGGAAAATGTCAGTTATCTGAAGAAGTCGATGCAACATTTACCATTAGTATAATTTGTGATGTTTTCTTAAATTTGAGCAGTATTAGAAAATATTTTGCTCCTGGATTTTCTCCCATGGTTAAAAAAAAAAGTAAAATTATATGAATGGAGAATAAAGATAATTTTAATTCAACCAATTCACAACAAACATACTCACAGCTTGAACGTATTGATTCTAGTCTAAATTGGGAAAATATGATTCAGTTTGATGAAGTTGGATCCTATATTAGTTTATATTGTTTGTCACATGTTCTTTAGTGTGAAACATGAAAACTTTCTCTCTTAATTAGAAATGTTTTGAGTTAATTCACCATGTTTCTGTATCAGATCGGTTGATACTAAACCTCAGATATCGTATTGGAAGTGATTGGTGCATGTGTAAAAACAACATGTGATAAAATGTCATAAATGACTTATAAAGCATTACAAAAAGCTTTAAATATGCATTTAAAATGAAAAATAAGATGTTCTTCCTCTCTAATTTACCCAATTTTGTATGTTTTTGTTTGTAGACGTATAGAAATATATTTTATGTTGCAATTTATTTATTTTTTTGTATTATCTGGAATTTATTTGACGATAATGTAACATTTCTAAGTGAAACTTTTGCTGTGCAGGGACACAGCAGGCCAGGAACGGTTCCACACCATCACCACCTCGTACTACAGAGGGGCTATGGGCATCATGCTGGTCTATGACATCACTAACGCCAAGAGCTTCGAAAACATCAGCAAATGGCTGCGCAACATTGATGAGGTGAGAAACAGAAACTAATGCAGCCAGCAGGACAAAACGGGAATAATTCAGTGGATCTGTGTTGATTAGATGCAGTTTGCAGTTTGTTTTAAAGGCCAACCTGAACTCTTTGCTCGTGGACAGAAAGGACTAGTCGGTGCGTTTTCAGTGGAAAGTGTCGGGCCAAACTGGGCGAGGCCATCTGACCTTGTCATTGTAATTTGTGTCACCGTTGCTGTTTTTAAAGAGGAAAGGAAACAATGAATTTCCTGCTGAGAAGTTGACGTTTCATTTGGTGCTCTAAACCCCAAAGAAGCTGAGATTTTAAAACACTTTTCTCTATTTTATTTGTTGTTAATCTAGTGGACAAAAGCTGTTTGAATAAACTATGGAGCACGACGAACGTCTTCTGTTTCTGACCAACTTTTACTAATTTGATTGAGCAGGAGAGACGTGATGGACTGAGTGTGACTAGTCTGTTTTAATTTAAGCTGAGCTTCGCCTTTAAAACATCAGTAAATCTACAAGTAGTTTCAGATTATAAAAGAATGATTACTATTTGCAGTTTTAGATTAAAATAGTGTACCATTGACACGCTAAATTTAAAGAGGGTAACAGATTTTATATTTTAACTTCAGGCTGGATTGCTAAATCATTTTGAACAGTTAAAAACCAAGTTTTAAATGTAATTCAAGCAATTTTTAATACTTTTTATATTCCTACACTATATACAAATAGGCTAAAGATATTCTTAGAGTATGGGCAAAAGCTAAGTTTCTTATTGTTCAATAATAAACTCTTGGCTTCCTCTTGGTAATGGTTATTTATAGTCTTTATGTTGATGATTAACCTTTTAAATTGCTATATTATTATTTACCATTTATTTTTAGATGTTTTGTGGTAGCCTCAGTATAATTGATATTATTTTTTTATGATTTACCATTAAATTAAATAAATAGTATTTTTATGATGATTAACCATTAAATTAATATTTTTATTATTTAATCTTTTTTAACCAATATTATTGGTAGATATTTATTTGATATTAAATTATTTTTATTTTAATTTATAATGATGATTAAACATTAAATTACTATGTTTATGATTTGACATCATTTTTTTGAGATAAAAAATATAAAATTTGTATTGTTTTCTATTATTTAGCATAATTATTATTTTTTGAATATTTGAATATCTAACAGCTTTTGTTTAAATTGTCATGCATTGTCGCTTTTTCACCTCATTTTTCTGCGCAACTTTAATAATAATTTGGGATTAACTAATAAATCTAATCACAGATTGCTGTTTGTGCATTGAAAAAGTTTAGTGTTCAATAATTTAGTCCAGATTTGACAGATTATTAGATGGGAATTATCGAAGACGTTCAGCATGCCAAAAATATCACTCAAGTTTTGTTTTTGCTTAGGATATTTATTAGCAAAATAAATCTTGGAATTGTCCTTATTAAAAGAAACAATTTCTAAGAAACAATTTCCTCTGTTTCCAGCATGCAAATGAAGATGTTGAGAGAATGCTGCTAGGCAACAAGTGTGACATGGAGGACAAGAGGGTTGTACCGAAAGCCAAGGGAGAGCAGGTGAGCCGATCGACCCACCTGAGCCGTTCCCCATCAGTGTTCTCTCTGTTGATTGGCTGATTTGTTGCTGCTGCTTTTCAAGCTCAGATTATTGCAGAACATTTGGGAAAATGTTCACCATATGTGATGTGTTGGAGATTATCACATAGATTATAGTCTTTTAACACAAACTATGAGAACATTTTCACATTTTGATTCAGCTGCTTCAGCTTAAAATCCACAGCTACATTGTCACAACATAATTTGCTGCATTATATTAAGCTTTGCGCAACATAATTTATCCTGCAAAAATAACTTTATAATTTACTGCTGAGCCAACGGCTACCAAAAGGATCCACATAAAAATGGATATTACAGGTAATTAATTATGTTGCCAGCAGCTAAAATTGTGTTATTTGTTGCTGTAAGTGGGGTGATAAAAGCTCTTAGGCAATCAGCACTTTTGAGGAGTAACTTTCTGAATTGCTGTATTAAATTAGGCCTGAACCGATTAATTATATTAATTGCAATTAATCGATTAA